GTGACAGAACGTCACGGCAGCGCATACACGTTGGAACTTCCTTCCGACATGAGACTCCACCCAACGTTCTACGTTGGGCGCTTGAAGCCCTACGTGCAGCCCGAGCCATTTAGTCGTGATTACTCGCCGACGACGACGCGCGGCGCGACTTCAGCTTCTCCTCAAGCCTCTTCACCTCCTCCCGGAGAAGACGAACTTGTTCCGACACCTCAACACGGATGTTTGAGGTGGTCTGAGCGGCTTCGGCCACGTAAGCCTTCTGCACGTTCACCTGCTGATTCATCTCAGCGATCTGAAGAACCTGAACGCGCTCAAGAGGCTCCACGCGAGCGTGGAGCGCCTGAAGACCGTGGTCAACGTGGGGTTGACCATATGATGAGCGTCTGGCACCGCCGACAGAAGAGTAACTCTGTCCGCGGCACGATCCACCGCGAGGTGGATCGGATTGTTCACCATACCAATCCGAAGACGAACCGAGGTCCTGTTCGTTTTCGTATTCGTTGGAGACAATCGGGTTTCCTTCGAGATACGTGGTTTCCCCGAAACGTCCTGATGACGGACGTTCCGGAAATGGTGAAGGCGTACGAATTCCACCACGGACTGGAGGCATAACACTGCGGGGCGCAGTGTTTCGCGGAGTGTTGTGCTCAAGCACAACACTAGGATGCTGACGCGTGCAAGCGAGCTTAGCACGTAGCTCCTTAACGTTTGCAGGTACACGGTTTGTCGTATACCCGGTGAGGCCTCTCTCGCTGATGCGGGAAGCACCAGGAGGGCAGTGCGGGCAATTGACGCCCACTGGCACTGCACAAGGAATGTTCGCGTTCACAGAACCTTTGTGAACGCGTTGGACGACATAAGTAATGGAGTACTTCATGAAGCGCTCAGGAGCTGAAGCAATTCACTCGCGATAAGCTGTCGAGTCTTTGTTGAAGTTTTCAACAAACTGATTCCAGCTTTGATAGAGTGCCTGCCACTCGGGCACTCTGCTTCGCCCCGAAGTCTTCTTCGAGCCCCAGTACCGGAGCTCGTGAGAAAGCGAGATATAATAGTCTCGCCTTTGATTCGTCATCGGCTCAAAGCGCTTTGAGGCAGCTTCAGCGTCGTCGACAATTCAATTGTCGACGTACAACGGTATCACGTTCAGATGAACTGTGGGCCCGTACCGTGCTGTGATAACACTCTCAGACGGCATCCAAGGTTCGCGCACTGAGTCGTCAGTGCGCGTGGCATCACGTTGCTCCGACGGAACAACAGGTGGATCCGAGGTGATGGCAAGTGCTTCCAGTCTGGAAGGCACTGCATCACTAACACTTCGCGGAAGCTTCGAAGATAAAGCGTCCGAATCATCTTCACAAGGGCGGCGAGTGCCAGCCGCAGGCTTGGAGTCGTATGACAGGGAAGACGAGGTACTCTCGTCTTCAAGCTCTCCCTCCTCGTAGTCCACGGGGATACCACCGTCGGTCGAGAAGACCGACGAACCATCGAAGACAGTCTTAGGACTGTCTGGCTTCGCTGCTTCGCCTCAAGCTCCAGCTTCTTCTCTTGGAGCTCTATATACGTGTCGACAGAGAAGTTCTTCTCCGTCGTCCCACTCAGAGGTGTCGGCGTTGCCGCCGACACAGGCGCGGAAGCAGGCACCGACGCGGAGGTCGGTGCGGACGCGGGATCAGCCGCAGGGGGCGACAAGTGCCAGCCGCAGGCTTGGAGTCGTATGACAGGGAAGACGAGGTACTCTCGTCTTCAAGCTCTCCCTCCTCGTAGTCCACGGGGATACCACCGTCGGTCGAGAAGACCGACGAACCATCGAAGACAGTCTTAGGACTGTCTGGCTTCGCTGCTTCGCCTCAAGCTCCAGCTTCTTCTCTTGGAGCTCTATATACGTGTCGACAGAGAAGTTCTTCTCCGTCGTCCCACTCAGAGGTGTCGGCGTTGCCGCCGACACAGGCGCGGAAACAGACACCGACGCGGAGGTCGGTGCGGACGCGGGATCAGCCGCAGGCGTCGACATTGAGGTCGACACGGACACTGGCGAAGGCGCTGGTGTCCACAGAGAGTCGCACATTGCGAAATGAGCGCAGAGTTCTCTCGGAGGCTGGACGGACTCGTCAAGGCTTGGATTGACGTGTTGTGACCGGCACGTCAAATCTTAAGGGGGGGTGTAACGCGGTTACACGAAACTCTAACCGCGACGTTAACCGGTTAGAGTTAGAGGTTTCCTATCTTGTGTGTGAACACATCAAGATTGCATTTGAAGGGATCCTATTGGTAGAGTGCACCACACCTCTACCAATCAGCGATGCGAATCACTGTCAGCCACCCGCTGACAGTCCCTTAGATATTTGATAAACAGTTTAAGAAGGAAACCCTTTAAACAAGCAATATAGTTCTCATTTTACGCTATCTAGCTCCTATCTTGTCAGACCGTACACACGCATCGTGTGTACGCTATACAACCTAGGAACACCTAC